CTTCTATATTAATTCAAATGACATAACTCCAAACTCTTCATCTTTTTCCATCAATCATTTATTTATATACATATAAACAACAACTATTTATTCATCTTCATCTCTCACACCCTCTCAAATTCTATTTCTATCTTATACATCTCTAAATTTATTTTCTTTCTCTTTGGTTTTTCTTCTATTTTACTATTGATAATCTTCATAGTTTTTTTTTGTTTTTTCACTTCTCCCATAAGTTTATATATGTTTGTATCGTTATGTTATTCAGGTTGCATTATAGTTTTTATGCATTATGTCATGAAGATTTGAAAAGAAGTCTTCAAGTTCAATTTTTTGGTTGCAATAAAAGGTAAAATATTTATACTGATTTGTTTCATTATTTTGATTGCATTATAATTTTATTTATGTTTGTATCGTGATTTGTTTGCATTATAACTCTTATATATTAGGTAAAGATTTAAAATGTTCAAGTTCACCATGTAATTTTTACTTATGCATGTTGAACGTTTTTTGGTTTGCAGGTGTTCGAGTTCTTTAACGTTTATATATCAAGTCATGAAAATTTGAACTTTTCAAGTTTAAGTTGTGGGAATTTTTTATTATGATCTAAGGTAAGGATTTTATGCAAGTTTGTTTTTGTAATTTAAAGTGTATTAGAATGTTATGTATGTTTGTATCATGATTTTGATTGGATTATATTTTTAAGTATGTTCTTATCGTAAGTTTAGTCGTATTATAATTTTATGTATGTTCATGTTATGATTTTGATTGCATTATAATTTTATCTATTGGGTTATAAAGATTTGAAATTTTTAAGTTTGGTATGTGATTTTTTACATATCGTATGGTTGGTCCGGTCCATTCACTATTGTGTTTTTAAAGTCAAGGTATGTATTGAAGATGAAAAATAGTACATGTACATCATCCTTTGAAGGAGACATATCTTTATGTGGAGTATTTTTTATTCTTAAATTTTTGTCAGATTCCTTAATATTTCCGTCGTTATTATTACTCATTTTATTTAGTTTTACAATTTTATTACTAAACAAATCTATCTCTCAATATATATATGTGTGTGTATATTAAAATTTCACTAACTATATTTTATTTAACTTTTTCGAATTATTTGAATATGATTTGTTGATGATTCCATTAACAATTAATATATATTTATATAGACAATCATCAGATCATTAATCAAAACACTCATACTACCGCGCAACGCGCGGTTCCCATACTAGTATAAATAATATAGATAGACAATAACACTTTATAATATAAAATGGCACCAGAACTCATAAGCGATAAGAACAAAATTCGAACTCATAAAGTCAGTGATCCATTTTGGATTCTTTTTGCCTTTTCTATTTCTTTACTTTCGAAGGATTTTTCATGATTTTCTTTTTATTTCGTTTGTTTTTCTTCTTTTCTGATTCAAATTACATAAGAAACAATAAGTAGGTAAATAAAGATACATGAAGTAGCGGAAAATGTACCCTTTCGTTTAGTCTCGACATTAACTTTAAAGGATTACAATGAAAGTTTACATCAGATGAGATGTTCATTCCTTGAAAACCAAGTCTACAAACTCGACTTCTCCTACTGCAGCCTCAGGTTGTGAGATCTGATTTTGCAACACAGATTCTATATGGCCGACAAGGCTCTACGTGCTCGTGCCAATCCCTTTGCGTTTCCTGGATCTCCGTGTGACTTGCACATGTTTGGTTCTTGGTCCAAATTTCACACTAGACCTTTGCTTTTACTCCAAATACTTCATTTTTACGCCAAAGAACCATTTCTTTTTTATTACAAAATACCGTATGTATCAGTATCGTGATTTAATACACTTTAATACAACAACCATCAAAACACCATTCTGGCTCCTATTTTACCTTCTATGTCTCGAGCTCACACCGTAACCAAACGAATCTCCTCTAAATAAACACCTTCACAATTTGATCCTTGCACTTTGGTTACCTCCTTCTTCTAGCCCTTAAACTCATGTTTCAAGACTTTACAAATTTAACCCTTGTACTTCTCCATATTTCACTTTCGACCCAAATTTTGGTAGGTTACAACCTAATAAATTATTGTTATCTTAAGCCCTTCAAATATCTATATAAAAAAAAGATCCCAAAATATGTGTATATATATCTATACTATATTATAAAGCATTTGGCTAAAACTCTTAAAAACTCTTAAACTCTTAAAACTCTTAAACCCGTTCATCCCTAAACAATTTTATCCCTATCCGATTTCATCCCATA